AGCATAAGATGTTGCTGTTTGGTAACTCTCTTTGTTTTTGTTTCCTTAATTACATCACTTTACTAAAAGTTCTTTTTCCTCCATATTTTCCTCCTTTTTCATTATGGGCTTTAGGTTGGATTTATAATTTAAATAGAGGAAGGCACCGAAACAATTTTTGCCTTGTTTATTCTTTTTACAAACAATATCCTTTTGTAGGTTTAGTCAGAGATTTACACTTTGCTAATCAACACCAAAATAAATAGACCCTTAAAACTGTCAGTGACACCAGCCAGTTCTGCAGCCTGAGTTCTGAAGGACCATGCCAGATGGCAAAGCCAGGCCCCTAGCACATACAAAGTGTGTTCTGTAGCTCTTGGCTTCAGCAGCATGGGCAGCTGACTGCTTTTAGAAGGCTTGGGGTGGGGGAGGGAGCAGATTCCCTACTATCCATTTGTTTTGTGGGGCATCTCCAGGAATAAACCCTAAGGTGGCATGAGTGGTACTTGACTGTGGTTATAACCTATAGTGTACTGGCCAAGGCACAAGCTGGATATTCTGAACTCCTGGCTGTCTCCCAGCATGTTCTTTGATTGTGTTCCGCTCAGAAGCTTCCCTCTAGGCTCTCTGGTGTGTAAAATGGAGGGGTAAAGCTGCCCGTTTTTCTTAATTTTCAAGTAGTGTAGCAGGCGAGTGCAATGAGGGTATGAGTTCATCTTCCACAGGTTAGACCGACAGGACAGAACCTTCATCTGTTGAACTGGATGTTATCTCAACACTATTGAGATAAGAGAAATAGCATTCATTGCAATGTTTGTAGCAATGGTTCACTTAGTGCTTGGGAGAGTTTATTGTAATTGTAGCTGAAATATTGTGCTCTGAGCTTCCAAGTAGATAATTAATCAGTAGACTGCCGGGACCTCTGCAAGAGGAACTGTAAGAGGTTCCGATGTGGGAACAACCCTTCTCCCCTCTCCTCCCTGTTCAGGAGATTGGTTTTTCTCTCCTTTAAGCTCGTGATGCTACATACACTTCTAGTATCTTCTAGGTCTACAGAGGACAGAATAACTCGCAAGATCAAATATGTTTTTACATGCAACAGACATGTAAACAAGGACTTCTCATCAGTTATCTTACAGGAAAAAACCCAGAAACAAGCCAGGTCCTTCACAGAATTTGCAGACCCTTTGCCTTTGCAGTGGGAATCCTTGATGAGGATTTGGTTTTTGAGAGAGGAATTGGTTTAATGAAGAAGAGACAGCTACCCATGCTAGAGAGAGAGTCACCCCTTTGGACTTTCATATATTATCTATAGGACTCTCTCCATTCACACATACTCTCATTGAAGATGGGTGTTAAAATGGAATTGTTTTAGATGCTGTAGCATTTACAAGGGGATGCTTATTTTTTCTTTTGATTCTGTTAGTGCCCTGTTATCATCCTGCCCCATGAAACATGATGTAGCTCTGCAATTCTGTGCTAATGTGCTGGGTTGGAACCAGCTCAGCATTTGCCTGTTTACTGCTTCTCTACACAGTGCAGCTTCCTTACTTCAAATAGTGTTTGAACAGACCAAAAACATGTTTTTGGCTGTCATCCAGAATTTGGTTTCCACTCCCTAGCAATGCCATAAAAATACTCTCAAATAAATCCTCAGGAACTGAAAAGAACAAATTCCCTGCTCCATATGATTGAAGATAATAGAAGCAGGCTTCAGCTGACCACCTGGCTTGGTGCCCATGGCTTAGGAAAACCGAATTGCACAGCATCCCTTGGCAGTGCTTTATAGCTGTCAGAGTTAATTTTCTGCACGTGATAGATGAGCTTTCTATTTAGGAAATTTGCACATAGCATTTATCTCCACTGGGTCTTTTGAATTGCAAAAAATATTATCTTATCCTGCTCTGTTGCCAATTAGTATATATTTGAAGTTTTTGAACCCAGGATTAATTTTCTATTGATAAACTTCTAATGTTAACCATAGACAGAATCCTTCTATGATCTGGAGGATGTAAAGTGTGCGTGTATGTATGTGTGTTGAGAGATATGTTTCCTTTTTCCAACCTGGCTGTTGTAACATCTTTATCATTCATGATCCCAGCTATCACATTCAAATTAAAATAATTTTGGAAGGGTTTATTTACAGAGGAACTATTTAAAAAGATGTGAATATGTGAGGGAACATAAAGGATAGTGTATAACCCAGTGGAGCTGTTACTGCCCCTAGACCAGAAGGAAGGAAAGGAAAGGAGACTTACCAGAACCTAGGAGGAGAGAGTCTATAGAGAAGGCTGCTTTTAGACTGGCCTGCAACAGAGACAGCCTGGTAGCCCAATGCCACTCATCTCTTCCCTCTCTCCATTCTGTCAGGGCTTCCCAGTCAGAAGCCAGGAGGCAAGGGAATCTTTTGATTTGGTCCCCATAGGTAAGCATCCCAGGTGGAAAGCAAGACAGAAGGCTGAGTATGGATTTGGAGGTCAAATGGAAGGTATATCCCAAAGTAAGTGTCCAATTATTTCTAGGAGAGGCATACAAAAATCTCAAAAGAAAACTTAAACTCACTTTTATTTTTAAACAGCTTTATTCAGGTGTGATTGACATACAATAAACTACACATAATTAAAGTATACAGTAAAAGTTTAGATATGTACATACCCATGATGCCATTACCACAACCAAGATAGCAAACATATCCCTCACCTTCAAAATAAACCCACTTTAATTTAACACTTAAAATATCCCACAGGTTCTTTTAAGAGGATCTTGGGAAGGTATCACAAAGTTAAGCAATAGCAGGTGCTATTCCAAAAGTGAAAGACACACACAAAAAATGAAATGCATGACCATGTCAAAACTCATGCGAAAACTATTTAATACTAAGTAGCTTAAAATAAATTAGGAGAAGTTCGAAAGATTTTTCGGGGGGGAAGTCAGTGTTGGTTCTACGTTATATTTATTTATTGCCACATATTTGAAACAAGACAAAAATCACGAGTCTTTCCTGAATGAGTAGTCGGTATTTGAATCTGAGAAAATCAGTGATGTCAGTATTTAGCAGTGCCAGCACGAGAGATCTGTGGTTCCAGTATACAGGTTATATGATGTTCATATGTAACACTTCACACTCCTGTGGGCTGTCCCAGGCTTGGGTGCATGTTCTTCTAATGCCACCCCAACTCCTCAAGAAAACATGTTCAGATGTAGGTGAGAGGGTATGATATCTTATTGGTAACAATGCTTACAGTTATTACTATGGCAATTGTTGAGTTTTTATTATTTGCTTGGTGATAGAGCCAGGATGAGTTTTAATTCTCTGGGTTTATGCTATTCTGCTTTAATAAAAGCAAGTGAATCATTCGCAAACACATTTTTTACCATTTATTAGTAATTGTTTGCTACCCACCTGACAGCTGATGGAGGCACCAGGGAGTTAGGGCTTGGGTCAAGAACTGGCACTGTCAACCTTCGGTGTCCTCAGAGCCCTGATTTTTCTAGGGGAATAAGGAGCACCCAGTGCTAGGGAAGGCGAGTGTCCAGTGCAGAGTTGAATGTGAGACCCCAGCGCTGCTTCAAACAAAGAAGAGCATCTCCCTGACTAAGCCAGTACAGGGGGAGGAGGTGTAAACTTTTGGGGAATGGAGGGGTTGTACAGGCAAGGAGGGAAGCCCCTAGGGACCATTCCCCCTTTACCCTAAACTTATGCCCCTGCAGGGGGTACAGTGGCAGCCATCACCAGCACAGGAGATGTGACAGGCCACACTGGCCCGTACTCTGGCCTTCAAACTTACCTAACAAGTTCAGATCTCAGGGCCTTTGCATTTTTTATTCCTGATGCCGATGTGGCTCTCGCCCCAGATTTTTTGCAATGCTCTCTTCAGATTACTGCTCAAATACATACTCCTCAGAGAAGCTTTCTTTTGCCACCCCATCTGAAGAATCATCTCCGTCCCTCCCTCTCTCCCACTTTATTATCCTCTTAGCAATGATCACCATCAGACATCGTAACATCCATTCTCAGACTTTTTGGTCTTAGGACCTCTGTACACGCTTAAAACTTATTGAGGACCTCAAAGAGCTTATGTTTATGAGAGTTATATCTTTCAAAATTTACCGTATCAGAAATTAAAATAGAAATTTTAAAATATTTTTATTCATTTTAAAACAGCAATAATAATCCCATTACATGTTAACATAAATAACTTATGAAAGATAACTTCATTTTCTAAAACAAGAGAACTACATGAGAAGAGTGACAAATTTTTATATTTTTGTTTATGTCTTCTGTTAATAGAAGATAGCTAGATTTTTAACATCTGCTTCTGTATTCGATCTGTTGCCATATATTATTTGGGTAAAAGTTGTATAATTGTGGCTATTTCATTTTAATATTATACTAAGACTCAACAGGTGGTCATTTCTTAAAAGCTAGTTGTGTGGTCCTTGCACTCTGGGCAAACTTGTGTGAGCAACTCCCAACCTGTGGGTCAGATAGCTGCTTTCTTTTTTAAGGAAAACTTGGTCACTGTCTTGTACAATTATAGTTTATATAAAGTGGAATAAGAAATGCAAATAATCACTTTCATTATACTATTGAATAACCCTTAAAAACATCACCAAATCTTGAAAGATTATAGAAACTCCTTCAAATCAAACACTACTTATCTGTACAGAAATTGTAAGACTTTTTCATTAATAGATCCACACTTCTTATGATGGCTGCTCTTTTTGAAGTAGGAAGTGAAAACTTAAGTTCATGGTTCTTAACATAGTGCCTTGATAAATATTTACTGATAATATCTAACATTTGTTAGAGTACTTTTATTCATTTTTTTTCAAATCTCATTTATATCTATCAACTTATTTGAATAAGTGAGTAAAGTGCCTTTCAGAAATAGCCTTAAGTCAGTACAGGAATAGAGTTAAACATTCCTGTACTACAGATATGTCCAATAAATTAGGCAGCCACTTTATCTGCTAGTTCAGATGTTTTAACATGATTAATTCATAACTTTATGTTCATCTCTTTAAGATCCACACGGGTTTACAGCACCAAATAATCTGGCCCTGTCAGCCCAGCTGCGTTCCTCTGGATGAAAAACTCCTGCCCCAGCTTCTGAAAGAAGCAGGCTACACTACACATATGGTCGGAAAATGGCACCTGGGAATGTACCGGAAAGAATGCCTTCCTACCCGCCGAGGATTTGATACCTACTTTGGTAATGGAAATGCACATGTTTCTTTAACAACTCAGACTGACTGCAGCCATCTCATAAAACACAACCAAGTGTAATCAAAGTATGTAATACTTTCACGGGAAACTTGAACACAGTGAATCAGTCAGCACCGCTGTGAAGCCACTCTGTCCAACACCACCTTTATAAACATGGCTCTGTGTTCAGCTCATGGGGGACGTGAGCCCACAGGGAAGCAGTTACCTTTGCCAGGGTGCTAAGTGACACACTGGGGCATTCGGAAAACGTGCTACCTCTACATCTGAGACCATGGTACTTTTAGAGAACCTTATTACAAAAGGGGATACAGATTGATTATTTTTAAATCCCAGGGAAAACTCAATACCCAATATTTCTTTCACAAAGGTTCAGAATTTTTTTTTCTCTCCATAGACTGTGTTCAAAGGTTTTTTGTTTTTGTTTTTGTTTTTTGGGGGTGTGTGAGTGTGTATACATGCGCACGTTGTATGTGCGCGTGTGTGTGAGAAGATGGTGGAGAAGACTCTTTTCCATTGGCAACCTTCTCCCTTCTCTGAGATCTGTTTTTCAGATCACTAGATTGGGGAAGATAGATCAAAAAAATAAAATGGTAATAGAATAGTAAATGCAAATGGTAATAGAAAGGGTAATAAGAAGTTACAAGTAATTTATGGAATTGACAGCCTTATAAAAATGAAAGTGAAACCTCAAGTTTGTTTTAAAATGTGCTTTCTTTAAACCTGTTATGAGCCATCTTGATTAACAACCTATTTATTTTGACAGTGGCTATGTATCTTTCTGTCAAGTTCTTTTCATATTACACTTTCTGTCTAGCTATTTCACTACCTACCTACCTCCTTTTTGTCTCTTCATTTATTTTCAACTTGACCATATCCAAAAAGAAACACATATTCAACATAAAAAGTTTAATAAAAGAATAAAAACTAGGGTGAGTAGAAAAAGATGGAATAGTTAATTGCGTGGCACCAAATTACAAAAAAACTGCATGGCTATATAGGTGGACTTCACATTTAACTCTGAGATTTGAGATTTCTTATGTCCAAAACAAAAAAAAGGGGGAGAAGTCTATAATAGTCACATTATTTATAAGATAAATAGAAACCAGATGTTCAGGAAGAGGAAAGCATTTTCTGGTTCTTAGACTTGAGAGAAATTTCTCCTTTGGGAAAAGGTAAGGTGGACAGCATCCTCAAAAACATTTTAGTAATAAAGTAGTGGTTTTCTTATAGATGTTTCTTGAGGCATTCCCTTTCATTTAAGCTAGGGCCAGAGCACCAAAGTACGTTTCAGAAAAAATGATTATATGGAACCCAAACAATTGAGTTGAAACACATATCTCTGTAGTACTTGTTGGATCCAGGGTTAAAGTTGAGATTCAAGGACATCAGACATGAGACCTTGTGTGCCTTGCTCCCATCCGAGTTCTGTAGCAGATATCACTAATCAATCATGACATTTTCTTTTGAACCTGGGTATATCCTGAGTAATCTTAAATATTTGTTAACAATTGGATTTGGATGTAAGACCTCATTGTCATTTTGGAAGTTCTAGAAGAAAAAACAGCCTCTACATCCTTTGAAATTTTTCAGTCAGATCTTTGCTAAAATATGGATTGACACCTATACTCTGGCAAGAGGAAAAACTGTGGACATTTAAAAAAAAATTTTAAGCCAAATTATATATTTAAAAATTCGATTGGACCAAAGATAGAAATGATATATTTTTCATGAGAATTAGGAGGCCTTAAATAAACAGACAACACAGCCCATGTTTATTTGGAATGGAGACTTGCAGACAAGGAAGGAGGGCATAATGACCATGTAGCTGTCATCACTCTTCCAAATTTGATGCTCTGTTGAAGAGCAGTCAGATGGTGTGGGGCTGGACACACAACTCTCTGAATACAGTACAAACCACTGAATTGTACACTTCAAATGGGTGACTTGTATGTGAATTATATCTGTTCAATAATGCAGAGATTTAGTTGTTCAGAAAGTTTCATCTCACTTTTTCTCAAAAGGCATAGGTTGCCAGCCTCTTTAGGCTCAGCATGTAAGTTCAAATTTGTGATCACTGCTATGAGGAAACTACTATGTGATTGTCACATGGATATTTGGTTTCAGTTTGGTGAAGTATGTGAATAAATAGTTCTGTTTCTGGAATCTTCCTATTTTAATATCTTTTTAGTATTTATAGTTTATACATCTTTTAGTCAAGTATATCCTATGCATAGATTCTCCCAAATGATAAAAACAGTTTACATTTACAGATAACGAATCTGAAGTGATTTCCTCAAGTTAAACACCCAGTGATTATTAAGAACCCCAAATAGAACCCCCATGTCTTGTCCCCTCTAATCACTCATATAAGGGCTGAAATTATTTTTAATTATAGGGACCATTCAGGACTGGGGAAAGGGCCAGGCCAATTTTATTATCCTCATTTTAAGGATAATAAGCAATATTTGTCAGGAGATAGCTCAGAGTCCCATACAATCTATTTCTTTTTTTAATTATTAAGAACCCCAAATAGAACCCCCATGTCTTGTCCCCTCTAATCACTCATATAAGGGCTGAAATTATTTTTAATTATAGGGACCATTCAGGACTGGGGAAAGGGCCAGGCCAATTTTATTATTCTCATTTTAAGGATAATAAGCAATATTTGTCAGGAGATAGCTCAGAGTCCCATACAACTTATTTCTTTTTTTAATAGCTTTATCAAGGGGTAATTCACATACCATACAATTCACCCAATTAGAGGGATAGAATGCAATGATTTTTAATAAATTCACAGGATTGTACCACTGTCCTCACAATCCAATTGTAGAACATTTTCATCACCACCACCCCCCAAAAGAAACCCCATTCCCATTAGTGCTCACTCCCTACTTTCCCCCAACCCCGCCAGCTCTGGGCGACCACTAACCTTCTTTTTGTCTCTATAGATTTATCCATTCTGGTTATTCGTGTAAATTGAATCATACAATATGCAACACAACTTATTTTAATATTTTAGGAAAATATGGAACATTTGCAGAAACAACTGTTTGTTGAGAAAACCCATTTCCTTCCATGTTTAGGTCCAAATTTTGGAACAGTTAATGCCATTTAAATTTGGGGTACTAAAATTGAGATCACCATGGGTAGAAAAATCTAATCTCAGTACCTGATGTTAATTTGATTTTTTGGCTCTGTTAAATCTAGAAATCCTCTGTTTGGAAAGGTTTGTGCCTTCCACCAGCAGGTGTCAGCATCTGACTAAAGATGATTCCTCCTATAGCAGCATCTATAAATAATCTTGAAGCCAGTCTCCTAAGGTCAATAGCAACGTTGATTCCTGCATTCATTTATGTGATCATTTCAAAATAAAAACTTGTAACAAATCACATTAACTTTTTGCTATTTTAGCCATTAGATAGCTTTAAAAGATTAAGATGTTATTACTTACCTGAATTTGAACCCAGATTTTTAAAAATGTATTTACTTGGAATCATCCAAGTTGAGTGTTACATCACAGAGCTTGTCTTCTAGACTAGATTGAGGAGTGGAATTGAATTTTTTTACAGTAACATTTTAATGCCTTCTGCTGACAAATATAGAGATGTTAAGAAATGGCCCTCTGATTAGCCTTGTCACTTGACTAGCCTTGTCATGGGTAATCAATTGCCTTAGGCAATTAAATACTGAAACATTAGTTTGTTTAACAAGTTTTATGCTCTGCTGACTACTTTCATCTCCCATTCTTGCTGTAGGCTATCTTCTAGGTAGTGAAGATTACTATTCCCATGAGCGCTGTACGTTAATCAACGCTCTGAATGTCACACGATGTGCTCTTGATTTTCGAGATGGTGAAGAAGTTGCAACAGGATATGAAAATATGTATTCAACAAACATATTTACCCAAAGAGCTACAGCCCTCATAACTAACCATCCACCAGAGAAGGTAAGTCTTGCCTCTTTATTTATACTTAGATTATGTTAAGATACCATCTCTTCAGACGACTACAGGAAAAGGCCACCATTGTTTAGGGGAAAATCTAAATTTTAGGGGAGTAGTTTTCAAGTTTTAGAGTACATTAATATGAGCCTAGGAAGCTTGTTAAAAATAGAAATTCCTGGAGCCTACCTCTTAAGAGTCTGATTTCTTAGGTCTGTGAGAAATCCATATGTCAGCATTTTAAAGAAATTCCTCAAGGCTGACTCTGATGCAAGTGGTCCCTAGATCACACTTGAGAAACACTGAGTCTATAGTGTTTAGAAGAAATATAGTTTTATTATTTTGGTGTATTATATGCATGTGCTGTAAGTAATTAGTAAATTGACTTTTTTTTTTTTTTTTAAATGATAGGCTTATGTACAAGATGAGATTTTGTCATGGCAAACTTTCTGTTAAGAGATCAACCAATTTTTGGTTCAGAGCAAGTCCTCTAACTTTGTATTTTGCCCCTCAAGGTCATTTTAGCTAGTGTAGATATTTTACATCCCCATGTTAATTCTAGAATCAGCTGGTCAACTTCTACCAAAAAATAAAGTGCCTGCTTACATTTCAATTTTATTGAATCTATAGACCAACTTGGGGAGAATGGATGTCATAAGAATATTGAGTTTTCTAATCCATAAATGTGGCATACTGATGAGCATGTTTTTTACATTTATCTTCCTGAAACCATTGTATATGTCATGTGCTGACATCTTTTGAATTATCTAGTTGTAAAAATAGAAAATAGTTTGAATAGCCTTCAACATTTTTTTGTTAACCTAGAGTTAGCTAAAGCTTAAACTAAATCCTCTGAATTTAGCTTATAAATGCCTTTAAAATTTGATCAAATATTTGTATTGTCAGATATTGGGTCAAAATATGGCTTCATTAAGAACTGCATTAGCACATCCACAAAATTAGTCCATCCTGACATAGCATATTACAGAATGTGCAGTGTTACCAGGTTCTTCCCATTTCTTGCACTTCGCCTCTTTGACAATTACTGAGGGTCCTCAGTGCAAATCACAATTTGGATTTCAGTTTATGTACCTGTTAGACTTGGTACTTGGCCGCTGACTGTCTTTTTGACAGTTTCTTTCTGGCTCTGTCTTTGCCGCCTCTAACTCAGTACTAGGAGTCTTTGTTCCACTTTCAGCTTCTTACCACTGTGGAACATAGAAGGAATTGGAACATTCTCTCAAATATGTAGACACATGTAGATTTTAAATCTAGAGCTATACTAATATTCAGATAGTTGGAAAGATAACTGCTATGAAATAGACTTACGTTCTCAGTTTTCTTCTGTATGCTTGGCATTTTATGAATACAGCTAAAAACCCAAAGAAAAAGAGAAGGTTTTAAGGAAACTAGTCTTTGTTCTGTCCTTTGAGGTAGGCACCATTTTACAGATAAACAAACTGGCCTAGAGAAGTTAAGTAACTTGTTCAAAGTCACAGAGCTGTTGAGAGTTAGAATACAATTTTAAACCCATGCTGTTTAACTCCAGAGCTCAGTGCCCTCCCTATTCACGGTTAATATCCAAGGCCAGAGATTATGAGGCCCAGTGTATGTATGATTCAGCTTGATGGTTCCAGTCCTGACATGATTATCTGGAAAGCTCGTGAGAAATACCAATTTCAGATATTGTGATTTATTGGTCTGGAGTGGGACCCTGTCACCCCTCCACTCCCTCCTCCCACCAGTGATTCCGATGTGCAGCCACTATTGACCCCCCTCAAACACAGAGGGGCAAGTGAAAGCCAACTGCCTTTTACAGGTTCACAATTTAATCTGTAACTATGCCTACAATAAAAATTAGTTCCCATTAAGGAACAATAGAGTATTCTCTCACAGTGCCCATAACATTAAATGGATAAAAGGGAGCAGCTGGGGTGAAATAGTTCTTCGTGGGTGGGCTGCCTTAACTGGTATAGTGCGGAAAGCACAGGAACTGAGAAAAATTGTGAGTCTCAAGAGCTCACAAGCCATCCAAACTAGTGTTATTAATATGGTGCTGCTCAGAGAGAACGTTATGGACATTGCCAGATGAGAGGGTGGTCATTTTCCTACAGCGTCTGAAATACTCTAAAGCAGTATCCAGCATTCTGAACCTCAAAGTAAAGGTTCAAGCATAGACAGAAATGAATGAAATAGTAGCCAAGTGGTAGCCCCAGAAAGTTCATATAAAATAGCAAATGCAGATGTTTACCTGTTCGGTTTTCAGTAAAATGATTTTTCACCCCTATTCCAGGAGCTGCACTTACTACTTTATGCCAACGTCGAATCTTATTCTGTGCTAATTTCTCAAGTGCTGTATATAGACTGTAACATAGGAAACTTCTAAGATGGAAGTCATTAAAGAAATAAACACAAATCCACAGGCTCAGTTAAAAATGTGCCTATTTTAAAGAGCACTTGAGGTGGGGGAAAGCATATGGAGCTACTTTGTAACAGAAATACTGTTGGTCCTTAACTCAGGGAGATGCTGCTAATAACCACTGCACACGTGTTGGGAAGGAATGTCCTTTTTTTCTATAGAATAATTTCCTTAGTACTAAAACTACAATGTGAACGTAACATATTCATAAAATATCTTTTGGTTAAAATAACCCCCCTCGGCACATTAAAAATAAATGTTTCCTCACATATTTAATTATTAGAAGCTTCTTAAAGTAAATGCAAGTTTCTTATGATAGATTCATATTTTTCCCTGACATAGTTTGGAAAAGAATGTCTTAATTTGGAAGTCAAAGATAGAATAACAATTTAAAAATATATGATCTTTTAAATTTATTTTTTAAATTAGGAAAATGTACTAAAGAAATAAGAAATAAGACTTTATTCCTCACTGAAATTAGGTTTCTTAGCATGGTGAGAAGATTTAGAGTATAATAGTAGACATAATAAGAAAAGGAAATAAACTCTTAGCATCTTATTAATATGCTAATAACTTTAGGTGATAATGTTATACTTTTATGTAATACTTATACATTTGGTCATGATTCACATCTAGGATTCCATTTTCTAGTCCTAAGAAACCCGAAAGGTACAGTTAAAGTTGGTGTGAGGGTGGTAGCTGTACCTGGGTTGGTCAGAGCAGGGATTTGGATCTAAGAAAGAACAAGAAAGAGATTAGGATCCAGCATAAACCCAGAGATCAATGAGGATCAACTCGAGTCCAGGACTCCAGTGTTTTGAATCAGGATTTCGGTAAGGATTTCAGAATAGGCCTGAAAGTTTGCAAAGGCCAATGCATGATTGTGTTGGAACTCAAGTCAGTAGACAGCATAGTAATAATGAGCCCATCCCCAGGATGCTGGCCTGTTGATTTAGGCTAACAGTGAGTTGAGGCCCTGGCCAGCAGGTGTGGGGAAATTGGCTACAGCTGTTTACTGGGAGGGCCTTAGGGCAAGTGACTGTAGCTGGGGTCCTGATTGTGGTTGGAGAACCTTAGAGCTCTAGTTAATTTTTCTTTCCAGTGGGCCACCATGTAGTACTCAGAACAGTAATCTATTAATTTTTTTTTTTCAATTTAAAAATAGTATAGCAATGCTTCATATCTAGCACTGTTAGGGAATGAGTTGTTTTCATGAACAAAGTTCACCATATTTATGAGTGTCGAAACTATTTTTACAATATTGGATAAAAATACTCTAAAATGTGTTGGCTTGGTCCTCACCTCATTAAATGGGCTGTGCAATTCTGCCTCCTCTTGGAGACCCAGGGCCATATCTATGTGTGTAAGGCTATTTGCCTGTACATTAAATGGCCCTAGGTTACTGCTGATGAAACAGGAAGAAAGATAAGTCGTTTTGTTCAAGGAATACCTTTAGCTATACTTTTAAGTTATTAGGATCTGGTCAGCAGTCACAGGGCAGGCTGAGCCTCATCCCTCAGAGATTGTTTTCACTTCCTCTTCTCAGTTATGCCCTTTCTATTTGAACAGAAGCCTGACCACTAGGAAAATGGGAAATTGCTGTAGTTGGTCATGCCGTTAGCCACTAAGGGATAATTATTGGAAAGCTTTTCAGGTAATTTTTGGCTATATTTAACAAAGTGAGTAGAGTGATTTCTATGCCAAATACGTATAAGGTCCTCTAATGATGGTCCCAGAATCATCGTTTTTCTTGACATGATTATAACAACTCTCCCCCTCGACCCTCCCTGGCTGTTGCCTTTAGGAATCACTTGCTGGCTGAGAATAACCTGCCCTGCTTCCCCTTTCTCTCCTTCACCACGTGGGGTGCCACATTGCTGATTACAACCGATGAGCACGTCTTCATAAGCAGTGAGGTTCCTTTCTCGTTCCTCCACCCCTGCCCACTGTAGAAAATCCAGACCAGGGTCACAATCTCATGTTTACAAGGATCAGGCTGCTAACTTAAATAAGTGAAGCCGCTCAGATGGAACAGTGAGGAGACCCCAGAAAACTGGAGAGCTTTGGGAGTGGGATCTTTGTTTCTCCTACTCCAGCTATTTGTTACCGGATGGAGTGATAGTCAGCCTCTACAGTGGCCCCCCAGTGATGCTTGCTTTTTGGTATTCATTCTTTACATAGTTTTTAATCATGGCTTTCCTGTGTGATCATTAGGCTACTGCAGAGGTGCTCGCGTATCGGTCCTAGACTGAGTCTTATCAGATATTATGGCTTCTGCCTTGCTCTCTCTTGGATCACTGGCCCTGAGAGAAGACAGCCACCACGTTGCACTCAAGCAATCCTATCGAGAGGTCTGCATGGTCGAGAAATGAGGCCTCCTGCCAACAATCAGCATGAACAGGTCCTCTAACCCTCAGTCAAGCCCACGTCCCTTCCTTGCCACCCAGCAGAGCATCTACTAGGATTCCCTCTACCAGAGTCTGGAGAAACACAAGTTTCAGTGTGACTTGTGTGGCTAGAGAAGGAAGTGTGTGTCGACGGGGAGCAGAGGCAGAGCTAACGTAGTGGTAAAGCTTTTCGTACTGACTTTTGGAGTCGGAGTTGGTAATGTTTTCCCATGGAAATAATGTAACAAATGAAGCACAGGTTCTACATTATCATGGTTTTTGTTCCAGCGCTTACTTCCTTAGTTAAATAGGTTTTAAAATGATGACTGATATTTAACAGCTATTTTTAATGTTTTGGTTTTGGGGAAAGGTGTTTCTAAGTGCCAGAGATCTGAACTATAAGTAATATTTGGGCGTCTACTTGGGCTCTGTATATGTATACTCCTTACTCTGTCATAGGGATATATGATATACAATTTAAAACGTATCAACAATGAAGAATGAAATAGGAGTCCCCTACCCTCAGTCAGCTTTCTAACTTTTTCCATTCACTTATGAGATTTAAATGCCTCAAGTACTTTAAGAGAATTATGTATTTAGTTTTGGGTTGAACCAGTTATCTTTTTGAGAGTTTTCAACTCATTACAAAATTCCGTAGGAGTACAATGAAGAGAGGCTCATTAAAAAGGAGAGGTTGACCTGAAATGCCACTAATATTAAGTACTGTCAATTGATGTAAGATGTAAAATAGAATCAGTAGTATCAGACTTCTTAGTTTCCAGAAATTAAATTGGTCTTATGTTTGGTCTTAGATCAAAGACTGACAAGGCATGGTATTCTTGGATTCTCATAAACATACCCCAAATCCTTAACCTTCTCCTAAAAGGTGTGAAGTTATTTTTCAGCTAAAGCAAAAAGTTAAAGCATCTAATGATACATACCCACACTTTGATAGTGGGATTTTCAATAGGAAATTCCTCTGCGATTAGTATAACCTTTCCAAGCCTCAGTTAACTTATCTGTAAAATAGATGTAACATAGAGTGGTTTTGAGGATTAAATGAGATAGAATATGTAAATCCTTTTAGTATCTAGCACAGAGACATTTAATGTATAGTTATGATTGATATTATTTGTTTGGATCAGAGCCTTCTAGACCATTTTAGAATTCAAGCTTTTATTTTTAATTTTTTAAACCTTGCCTTTTGTTACATTTTTTAACATCTTTATTGAGACATAATTCACGTACCATAAAATTCACCCATTGAAAGTATACAATTCAATAGAAAATTCAGACTTGTGCAGTCTTCACCACAATCTAAATTTAAAATATTTCCATCACTCCAAAAAGAAACTTGTACCTATTTGCAGTCACTCTCTCCACATCTCTCCCGCCATGGCTTCCTACAACTTCACTAATCTACAGTCTGTATCAATGATTTGCCTCTTCTGGACATTTCATGTAAATGGAATCATACAAAATGTGTTCTTTCATGATGGCTTCTTTCACTTAGCATAATGTTTTTAAGGTTCATTTCTGTTGTAGCATGTGTCAGTACTTCATTCCTTTTTATGGCTGGAAAAAATTCCTTCTATTGCTGTATATTGCTGAAAATATACCAGATTTTGTTTATCCATTGGTGGATATTTGGGTTGTTTCCAGTTTTAGATTGGTATGAATATGCTGTTGTGAACATCCCTATACAAGTTTTTGTGTGGATATACGCTTTCATTTCTCTGGGAATGGAAATACTGGGTTATATAGTAACTATGTTTAACAATTATAGGGACTACCAAATTGTTATTCAACTGGCTGTACCATTTTATATTCCCACCAGCAATGAATGAAGGTTTCAGTTTATCTACATTCTCACCAACGCTTGTTATTTTCTGATTTTTGTACTATAACCATCCTAGTGGATGTGAAATGATCATAAGAGTGGTTTTGATTTGAATTTCTTTTTTTAAATTTTTTAAACCATTTTTTAATTAATTAATTAATTTTTATTATTTTTATAACCCCATTCCCCGCCCCACTCCACACACACACACACTTCCACCCCTGACCTATGGATGTTGCCGTCTCCTCTTAAAAACTGGATCTCTGAAGGCGGGCCGTCTCCTCTCACACGCTCGCGACACGCACCCAGGGCCTGGTACCTCCTAGGGCCTGGCGCACCTGGGGTATGGGCTGTGGCTCAGCTGGGGCTTGAACCCAGGACCTTCTATGTGTGAAGCAGACTTGCTAACCACTACTTTATGGAACCAATTTCTTAATAAATAATGATGTTGAGCATCTTTTCATGTGCTTATTGGCTATTTGTATATCTTCTTTGGAGAAATATCTTCAAATTCTTTGCCTATTTTATATTTGGGTTAATTGTTTTGTTATTGAGTTATAAGAGTTCTTTATATATTCTAGGTATAGGTCCCTTATCAGATATATAATTTACAAATATTTTCAACCCATTCTGTGGGTTGCCTTGACATTACTTTTATTAACTGGTAAATCTGGACTTCTCTATATATAGATTTAATGCTTCCGTGCCCTCTTAACTGATTTGCATAAACTCTCTTTTCAGCCTCTATTTCTCTACCTTGCTCTCCAGTCTGTCCACGAGCCCCTTCAGGTACCTGAGGAATACCTGAAGCCATATGACTTTATCCAAGATAAGAACAGGCATTATTATGCAGGAATGGTGTCCCTTATGGATGAAGCAGTGGGAAATGTCACTGCAGCTTTAAAAAGCCATGGGCTCTGGAACAACACGGTGTTCATCTTCTCCACAGGTAAGCCTGTCAATAGGAAAATCATCTCTTGGCAAAGCTTAAGACATGGTACTCGATAAATGGAATGAAGACAAATTGGAGCATTTAGAAGTTCCTTATTAAAATAAATGCTAACTGCAAGAGTGGAGACATGATCATAATGGATAGAAAGATATGTCTAAGGAAAAAGAATTATGGGCTTTCTCCCTTTTCTTCAAATTTCAAAAAATTCTGGGATTCTGCTTGAGAAAAGCATTCACTGAGTAAATATGAATGGACATCACTTATACGCAGGGCAGTTAGGCAGCGACTCCCTGAAGTGGCTTCTTTTCAGCAATCTCTACCATCCAGGCTCTGTAAATAGGTCTTATGCTGACTATAGGGGTCTCTGTATCAATGCAGAGACAGATTGGTACATTGTGAAGACAAATAAGAAATGGAGCCATTTAAATCTAGGCGAGAGTCTCCAAGTATAGATACTTTTATGTTAAAATTTTCTGACAATAAAAGTCATACATGTTGATTATAGAAAAAACAGAAAAGAAGGATGAAGGAAACTTTTTGAAAAATCATTTTCATTATGGCAATGTCGTTTTGACTTTTAATCTGTTATATGTGTGATTTCCCCCCCTCTTGTTAGACAGTTTTCTAACATTTTCCTGTGATGTGCTTTGGGTGTAGATGTTGGTTTATTCATCATGCTGTGTACTCAGCACTTTCTTTCTGAAGATGCAGATCCTTTTGTTTGGGGAAATTTTCTGGTATTATTTATTTCAGAATTGTTTGACCCTCCATCCTACCTTTTTCCTATTCTGCCTTTACAGAACTCCTGTTATTTAGATATTGGATTAATACTCTAATTTTCTTATTTTTTTTTTTACTGTCTTATTTTCTTTATTTGTCTTCTATGAGGATATTTTCTTACTATTTTGTAACCGTTCAATTGAATTCATTGCAACCACCATATTTTTTAAATATCAAGAACTCTTCCCTTTTTGTGAAGTTCTGGTTTTACTTTATGAATGTAATATTATCTCTCCAAATCTTGTGCCCTTAACCATTAATTTTATATATGTGTGAGTATATATGTAGGCGTGTCTCTGCATATACATATATTTTTAAGTTTACTTATATTCCCAATGTTGTATATTCCCAATGACCTTCTAAGGTCATTTGTATCTTTGTTTTGGATTGTCTTTCATGAAGGAGACTCAAAATTTCTAGTGATCATTGGCTAAAACTTAAAAATTTGACTCCAAGAGTGAGGTCAGGGCTTGTCGTCTGATGAATTTTAAAATGACTGTGTAAAGGGTATGAAGTGACATGTTGCAGAATTAATCTGGTTATTGTACTTATAGTTTGTTTGTTCTGGGGGGTTTTTTAGAGTTGTTTTGTTTTGCTTTTCATCAGGCCTGGTTATTGAACCTAGCACATATTGTGTGCTTACAACGTGCAGGACATATTTCTAAATGCTTTACATTAATTAGTTCAGTTAATCCTCACAGTGATTCTCTGGGGACTGTTATTATCCCTTCTTGCTGATGTGAGAACTGAAGCACAGAGAGGCTAGGTAACTTGCATAAGGGTCACACAGCCAGGCAACACCAGGCATCAACCTTTCTGGCTCCACTGCAGTCTCCTGCCTCTGAGATGGTACTGATAATGATCTGATATTCTTATTAGCCCTCATAACATAGCAGAGATTTTCCCATGGTGTGCTCCAATACTGATTTATCGAGGAGCCTGAACAGGGCCAGTGGTAGCGGCCACCCTGAGCAGCCTATTCATTTGCTTTAGTGCTATACAAATACTATAATATTCTAAGTATGTCCTGCTATGGAAAGGGTTGCTATAAGATAACATCTGTTTTCCCCCCAAAATTTACTCTTCAGAAAAGGACATATCTTATACACAAGTCCTGACAAGATCTCTCATATTCTGAGAGCCTTTATCAGTTGACTTTATTTTGAACAGCCTGATAAAGCACTTTGGTTAATGTTGATATTGAATCACTAGAAAGAATCAATATAAAAGGAAGCCAAGACATTTAATACTGATTTAGTAATTATTCCTGGGAAATGACCTCACAACTGCAAGAATTGGAAGTTTTAAGTTTAAAAAGCAAACCTCTGTTATAGAGGTCACAGTTATACAACTTAAGGATAAATGATTTCCTGAAACGAAAGTGTGTATGGATTAAAGCGTCATGTATAAACTGAAAAGTGTTGAGACAGAAGTGAAGATGGCAGCTCTGGGAAACCCCTCAAATGTCTCATAGTGGCTCCTGTGACAGCAGATATTAATGTCAATTATGTGTGAGAGGAGGTGGAATAAAATCTTTTCATGAAATGTGAGAGTGGGAAAAAGGCAATATTTTAAAATCTTTTATTATATGGTTTCAAATGTGTATTCATAACTATAGTAAATAGATAGTTGACTATTTCATAAATATCTACGTTGTATGTGTTCAGGTTGGCAGAAATAATTTTTGGTGCTTTTCACCAAGAAAATGGGGATTACCTTATAAGAAGGTTGTCATATTCTGACACTATGATATATTAAAAGATATATTAATCTAGGACCATCTTTGCTTTGTTGGGCTAAATCCAACTTGATTGTGTATATGCATTTTTATTATATTGCTGAATTCAATTTGCTCATATTTTATTTAAGATTTTTCCATCGATTCAGAAGTATAAGTGGGGTTGGTGGCTTCTTTTCTCTCTGTCAGGTTTTGTTGTCTTGGTTATGCTCACTTCATGAAATAGTTTGGATGGTTTTTCAGTTTTTTTCTATGCTCTGGAACAGTTTACAGATCATTTGAAAGATCTCTCTGGTTAAGCTGGTCCCTGCCTGGAACTTTTTTGGAGGCTTAAAAAAAAAAATTTAAACTATCTCCATAGTTTAAATTTTTTGCTGAATTATATCTAGGTGTGGGTCTTTAAAATATTTTTAAATTAATTTTGCCTGAAATAAAGTGAGCCCTTTGATCTGCATGCTGAGATTATTTTTTCATTCCAAGAAGTTATCCTTTTTCATATTTTAGCTTATTGCTTTTGCCTTGCTTGATTTATTTCTCAAAAATATCTTTAATTAGTAGATTGAATCACTGACTCCGCTTTTCTCTCATTTTCAGTTTTCTGTCCTTTTTCTCGTTCTTCTGGAGCTCCTCTGTGTTACCAGTTAGACATTTCTGCAATTTTAATTCTGCTCTTTAATATTCCCATGGAGATTATTATTGTGTTTTTAGTTTCTTTGCAATTTTTGTTTGCCTTAATCAGTTCCCTTTTCTTAAAAGCTCGTTAGTAATAATAATGGCTACATTTACTGCATGCCCAAGTCCAGTTCTAGTGCTCTTCCTATACTTTCTCACTATTGGTCATGTCATAAGTATTAAAGCTCAATATAACCTTGTGAACTAGGTTTCTTTATCTCCATTTTATAAATGAAATCAAAACAAAGAGGTGAAATGATTTGTCCAAGGTCACCGCTATGGTCTGAATGTTTGTGTTCACTTAAATTCACATGTTGGAATCCCAACGTCCAGTGCGATGGCATTAGAAAGTGGAGCTTTTGGGAGATACTTAGGCCGTGAGGGCGGAGCCCTCCTGAATGAGATTAGTGCTTTTATAAAAGAGACTTCAGAGAGACTCCTAACCCCACTTCCTCTGTGCGAGGGCACAGTGAGACGGCGATGGCTATGAACCTGGAAGAGGGTCCTCACCAAAAGGCCACTATGCTGGTGCCTTGATCTTGGACTTCTGAATCTCTAGAACTGTGAGAACTAAATTTCTGTTGTTTATAAGCTACCTAGACTGTGGTGTTTTGTTATATAGCAGCCTGAATGGACCAAGAGTAGCACTCATCTAACAAATGGAAGAGCCAGAATTCAAACCAAGATCTTGAGGTCAACATCTGTTTACCCTAATCGATTGTGCTTATGCATCTCCTTTTCCTTTTACCTCATCCCATTGTCCTTTATCTCTACTTTTGGCTTTCTACACGTCTGTTCTTAGCACCCATGCTTTGCCTGAATAGAACTTTTCTAAAATCTTCATTTCCAGAGTAAATCATTACCAGCTATATACTCTTCCTCTAAGTTTAGCAGTGAAGGATTTGTCTACACACAGTGCGTGGTCATCTCTTGGCCTCTGGTTACTGGTCCCTCGGTTAATCTCTTCTCACATCTATAACTTGAGGTCAGGTTGATGCACACCACTCACTCAGTTCCCAGTAGCCTGAAGGCATTGAGTGTCCTATACTCTACTAAACTTGAATGACTTTTTTTTTTTTTTTTCTCTTTTGACTGCCTGGTTCTTTGACATGGTAAAATGACTTCGGTATGCGCAGTTACCAGACTTTACCTATTTCCATACCTTTAGGGCTTTACCTTTGGGCTCACTTCCCAAGATACATTGTGCCCCTCTGATAGAATTTTTTCTTCATCTGCTCATTTTTTTTCTGGGAATTTTGATCGCTAGCTGCACATAGAAAGTTGAGGAGGCAATACTTTGCTCATGTCAAAAATTCATACTGTCCCTTCCCAGGCTGCCTCTCTGCCTCTTTTCAGGTTGGTGAGTTGACTCTGTCCTGAGGCAGTGGGGTAGGCCAGCCCTTTGTTTCCTCAGCCCAGCTTCTTCAGTTTTACAGCTCATAGAATTTTCTCCAAGATTCTGGCATTGTATGTTGTCAGTCTTGGTTTCTCACCTCGTGAGTTTTCATCGAATTCTGTATCTTTGTTATTTTAGCAAGGTGTTAGTTAAGAGAAGCAGCACTAAGGACTATTACGAAGATGCCATTTTAACCTGGGTTCCTATCACTGCGGCTGACCTTTATAGTCACTTACTTTTAGGAATCCTCACAGAAATCTGACCCTGAGTGAAATGAGCTAAAATTAGAGCCAACGCTGGAGCAAGGAGACCATGAATTAAAACCAGGAACACTGATTCTGAAACCTTGAAGAGAAAACAGCAATTCTCAACATCTTTACGCAGCTGTTACAGGCATACCTCATTTTATTG